GTGTGTGTGTGTGTGTGTGTGTGTGTGTGTGTGTGTGTGTGTGTGTGCTTGCATGCTGTACTGTCTCAATAGTAATGACAGTAGAGAGGAGAAACCCTTCTCTGAAATGCAGCCTTTCCTGTGCTTCATTTTTTAAAATACCCTTTAAGAAGACTTGCTGTTCTTAAATCACTAACGTCTTAAGATGTTTTTTGCAGCAACATTAGTCACTCAAAGCACAGTAAATTTGCATGTTTTGAGATAGGCCTCACTCATCCAGGCTGGACTTGACAGAGGTGATGCAATCTTCCTGCCTTCTCCTCCCCAGAGCTGGGCTTACAGGTATGAGCACCACACTTACACGGTTTCTCTTTTCCAGCCTCATACTCTATACTCAGTTTCCTGTTTGTGCCATTCCTCTTTTTTCAGTTAGAAATCAGGCCTGTACTCATTGCAGGAGTGGGTAGGTCTTACCAGTCGGTCTGGGAGGCCCAGAATCAGTCTGAGGCCTCCTAAAAACTCAGCTAGGACTCCCTAAGGCATTGACTGGGCTCCGGATCTGTCTCTGGCTGACGTTGAAGAGCAAGGCCAGCCTTCACAGCCTGTACATCTTGGAGAATTGTGGACTTAATTGACCACACTTGTAAGAATAAAAAAAAAAAAAAGTTAGTGTTTTGCTTGCTTGCAAATCTACATCACAAGCATGGCTGGTTCTTGCAGAGGCCAGAGGAAGGCCTTCCATGCCCTGAAACTGGAGCTATGGGTGTTTGTAAGCCACCATGTTGGTATTGGGGAAAAAAACTGGGTCCTCTTCAAGAGCAGCAAGAACCTTTTCTTTTTCCTCCCTATTTTCCACAAGACTCCCTACGCATTGTCCAGTATTTGGCAGTGAGTCTGTTTTGAGGCACTGCTGGGTAGAGTCTCTCAGAGGACAACTCCATCAGGCTCCTGTCTGCAAGCTTAGCAGAGTATCATTCATAGTGTCAGGGGTTGCCATTCTCCGATCAGGTGGGTCTTTGGTTGGGCCAGGCGTTGGTTAGACATTCATTCCCTCAATCTCTGCTCTATCTTTATCCCTGCACATCTTATAGGTAGGGTCAAATTTGGGTCAAAGTTTTTGTGAGTGGGTTGGTGTTCCCCTCCCTCTGCTAGGAGACTAGTCTAGTTAGAGAATGTCCTCTTCAGTCTCTATGGCCTCTGCTTCCAGGAGTCTCTGCTTGAGTCCCCCTTATGTCCTCCCAGGAGCCTAACTAGACTTAGGTCTCCAGCTTGTCACAGAGCTATTCCAACCCTCAGTTTCTCTTTTTCCCACAAGCCTCTGTCCTCTTACCCTTACCTTCCCTAGGTCTGATCTTCACCCTCCTAACTCTCTCTGCCCCCTCTCCTACCTTGTTCCCTCTCTTCAGCCACTACCTCTATTTTATCTCCCCTTCTGAGTGAGATTTATGCATCCTCCCTTGAATCCTCTGTTACTTATCCTCTTTGGATAAGTGGGAAGAAAGAGAAAAGGACCTGGAGGTGACAGGAGCTCCACAAGAAGACCAACAGAGCCAATTAACCAGGCCCCTCTGAAACTGAAGCATCTACCAAGGACCATGCACGAACTGGACCTAGGCCCACTACAAAGATGTAGCAGATGGGTAGCTTAGGCTTCATGTGGCTCCTCTAGTACGGGAAATGGAGAACTGTGTCGGACATGAACTCAACAGCTTTTGATCCGTTCCCCTAGTGGGACTGCCGTGTCAGGCTACAGGGGAAGAGGACATGCTCAGTCCTGATGTGACTTGATGAGCTGGGGTGGATAGGAAAGGGAGCTCTCCTTTGATGAGGAAAAGGAGAGGTGGATGGAGGAGAGAAGGGGTGGGGCTACAGCAAGGATATAAGGTGAATTTAAAAAAATGAAGTTAATACCTTCAGAAAGAAAGGAAAGAAGAAAAAAGAAAGAAAAGAAGGGAGGAAGGAGGGAAGGAAGAAAAGGAAGGAAGGAAGGAAGGAAGGAAGGAAGGAAGGAAGGAAGGAAGGAAGGAAGGAAGGAAAAGAAAATAGCACGGGCTCTTAGCTTCTGAGCCATGTCCAGCCTTCAAAATGTATCTTATAACAAAAATGTGAGAGGGAGAAAAAACATAAGACGATTGGTTTATCATCCAAAGCATTTATATTTGCTCACTTCTACGATAAAGGCTGAAGCTAGCGATTCTCCTGTTCTGCCTTACAATCAGGGCTGGGGCTGTGTGGTGTCACCTGAGGAATGAACACAAAAATTTTGAACATTTCTGGGGAATCTTGCTGTTCTGATGCAAGTGACAGAGGTGGCTGGTTGTGCCTCATTCCAGCGCTTTCACATCCCAGGCCATCGGTGGATGTCTGGGATCACTAGAGCTGTGAAGAGACCCTGGTCAGCCCCTCTGCAGCAGCGTTCTGGCCCATGGCGGGGGGGGGGGGGGGGGGGGGCTGCAGGCTTCCTGTTCCGGGTTAGGAAGGAAAGCCCTATTTGGTGAGAGTGTTTTTACGAGTTACTTACAACTTTGGGCCTATCCCTGAGCATCTGGTGTTGTGTTTGGTTTGGTTAGTTCATAGTATCTTTTACAAAATTATTTTTTAAACCCTTTATTGATCCTTTGTGAATTTCACATCATGCCTCCCAACCCTCATTTTCTCATTCTTCCATATCTAACCTCTGCCCTTGCAACTTCTCCCCCCCCAAAAAGGAAACAGAATCTCCCCATGGAGGCTGCAATGTGTCATGGTGTGTCCCACAGTACACCCTTTTGGACCACTCATCGTTACTTGCAAATGTTCCTTGCGATGAGTCATTGGTCTGGTTCGAGGCCTCCGGCTTCTGCTATATCATCAATACTGGATCCTCCTGGGACTCCTCTGTTGTTGCCTGTGTCATGGAGATCCTGTAGCTTTGGTTCCGAAGGACCTGCCCCTTTATGAGCTCCAGCAGTTCGTAGGTAGGTGTTGGGGCGGGCCACCTCAAAGCCCCGGATCTGAGCCTGGGTAGCAGCTGGATGGCAGCTGGGTGTTCAGTCCGCCAGCTCTCCTACATATCAGGTATTTACATTACGATTCATTACAGCAAAATTACAGTTATGAAGTAGCAATGAGAATAATTGTATGGTGTGGGTCACCACAACAGGAGGAACCGTATTAAAGGGCCGAAGCGGTAGGAAGGCTGAGAACCACTGTGGTAAAGGAAGCCTACTCTAATAGAGCCCCAAACTCCTGGAACAACATAGGGGG